GCTACGACGAATCACTCATAATATGACACGACAACTACAAAGCGTTTATTATACGAAGGAAAGAATACAGGTTAGCGATTATATGGAAACAGCTACCATCCTCCACCAACGCATCAGCAACAAGTCCCCAAGCATTCCTCCAGCAGCGTTAGCGATCTATATGCTCCGCTCATTCACATTGTCGTAGGCGCGACAACATCTGGAGTTCTGAAACAACAATGACAATAAGGGTTCAGAGAAGATAAAAGAGAACTGAACTGTGATGAGTATGTGAGTTTATATACTCATGTGTTTCAAAGATGATATCAGGTTATGCTATCATAGCTATGCTTGATGTATAAAAAGCTGATGATGGACTTCAGTTTATCATGCTTTTTATATAATGAAAAAGAGGTTTGACCAGATGATAAAACAGATAAGCTTAATGCTTATTGTTCGGTATTCAGGTCTAGCATTCGAGACTGGACCTCGTTATATTATGTTGAGATGCATATCTTATATGGCATGTTTGCCGGATGGAAATATACAGGATTTATCAAGCTTGATATTCTCGAGAACGGGGTTTTTTTCTTTTATTTTTTTCATATATTTTCAGGTTTAAACTTAATCTCTAATGTTCAACGAAACTGGTGTTTGTGGAAAAGGTAGTATAAATATGCGTATGGAAATGTTTGCAAGTCATCCTTGAATAATTATCACTCTAACTGGTAGCTTAATAGATACCTTTGGAAACAAATTTTTTCTCTGACTCTCTAGCTAACTCTCTAATTATGTGTTCTCCATATTGCTCCTATTCCGAATCTGAATTCGAAGAACTGCCTTGTCTTCTTGACGAGATGCGGTTAGTCAGGGAGCCTTCTGGAAACCTTACTGAGTTTAAGGTGCACCTGCGTCTGAGTTATCTGGCAAATAATGTCGCTAGGTACGATACCGTAGCGATCGCCTGTCGACATCATATTTTCGATAGCTATTTCGAAATGGTGGATGTTCTCCAGGAGTTATTGGATGCAGCAAATCATGTCATTCGAGCTGCACGAGGTACTTTCATAGATAAGGAGTTAGGGATGTGGCTTCTTCCATGCACCTCTGAGAATCTAATGCCCTTCGTGAGCAAGAAATTGGAAGATTCCCGAGCTGACCTGTCGAAGGATGCAGTGTTGGTTGGAAATGGAGGAAAGGCTTTAATTAATTTGGTGGAAGCTTCACCCGTTTTGATCGTTGCTTAGTTGTTTTCGAAGATATTTCTTTTTTTCTGTGAATAAAGGTTTTCTTTCTATCATTGTTTGTTTTTTTCATGATTTCACAAGAGTTCCTTTGTTTCAAAATTAGTTGGAACGTGAGTTGTTACATATCCAGAATCATCCCACACACTTTTGCAACTCTTAGAGAATATCTGTTGTATGAAAAACGTCTGCAACACAAAAACGAATCATATGCTCTAAATTCTTGATATAAAAAACTACAACAGGTGTGATGACTCTCGATATGCGCCCACGAGCTTTAGTTTAAAACTCTATATAGAAAAACCCTTTCTTATCTTTTTCTTGTATCTTTCTTAGAACTTTTAGAGAATGCTTTACCTATACATCCTTTCTTACCGTAAGATTACAACCCACTAACACGGTATAAATACCCGCCAGACATTCTGTCTAGGCCTTTTGACTATGCTATGACCATGTCCTTACTCTCTCTCTCTCTCTGAACCCATATTCCCCCCCCCCCTTCTCTTTATTCTTCGCATAACTTAAAGATGGTCGGTATGTTTACTAGTTAAGTATTGTTACTCACACTTTATCTTTCTTTATACGTCACTAACAATTCATAGTATCTCTATCACATCTTGTTTGTTTATTGTAATCACTTATATCAGAAATAAACTCTTTCTTCTTAAACAATCTTGTTTCCATCCACGAGAACTCAGTTTGATAATTTAACATTCAAAAGTAATTCATAAAACACACTCAAAATCCCAAGGATGGAACGGTGTGTGCGATATAATGAAAAAGAGGTTTGACCAGATGATAAAACAGATTAGCTTAATTCTTATTGTTCGGTATTCAGGTCTAGCATTCGGGACTGGATCTCGTAATATTATGTTGAGAGTACATATCTTATACGGCATGATTTCCGGATGGAACGGTTAACGATTGGAAAAGGTAGATTCTTATAATTCGTCGAAACATCTCTGGTGAGAGACGAGTTGAGCCGTGATTTTTGTTTGTTGCTTTAGGTTTGGTACGCTCAGAATAGATGTTTCTTCGTTTAATCTGCGTGCCTATCTCGAACAAATGGGTGTTACGTTCTGTTGGGAAATGTTAACGCTCGCGCATCGGACATATACACCAATTTAGTGTATACATCAGATGCTGTTAGAATTCCATGTGTGTAGCGGTTATGCGAGCGCACGGAAATGATGAGGTCTTCATCAGCAGCGGGTGCGCTCTTTCGTTTTGATCCGTGATCAAATCCTTTATCTTCGGAAGTAAGAGTGGTGGCACTCGGGCCATTTCCAAAATCAGTGGAAACCATGGTTGACTCTTCCACAACGGTGTGATCAGAATGATATCTACCTTCTCTACTACGATCTTCTTTATCACTCGGGATAACAGTGAAAATGGAAGGAAAGCGTACAGCAATCCTGTTGCAAGATTCCTCCATTGATGCGAAAAGGCGTCTACTACTTGAGCCTGTGTTTCTGGAAAATAAGAAGCATAATGTTTTGCTTTTCTATTTTCTACCGATACAAATTAATCAAATGTTGGTGCGCCGAGCTGTAGGAATACCTCTCTCGCGATGTCATTATTCAGCGACCATTCTCTCCATCTTTGTGATTGGAGCCTGGAGACTCGGTCCGCTAACTATATTCCTACTGTGACAGTAGTCCCAAATTTCGAACGCTATTCTTGTTCCATATTCATTGGTTATTCCTCCACGTCTGTTGATGTAGGCAATAGCAGTTCGATTATGCAGGTGTATGGCAAGATGCACGCTTCTGAGATTTTTCGCAAATTGTCTTATTGCTATTTTCTCGACCATAATCTCCAGAATGTTGATGTTGGACATCCATTCTGATGGTACCAGCTCTGCTGTCCATGTTACTGCTAGAGTCTTGTTCTGGAATACTGCTCCATAACCTGTTAACAACGCATCAGACGTTATGTTATGAGTTGCTTTCCTGTAGGAATGTTCTTCTATAAGAATAGCTTGAAGCCTCTCTTCCCATTCTGCCATCTTGGGTTTCAGAATGTTCGCATCTATCGTGAGCTTTAGGAACATAGACCTATGTCCCAATGGAATGATCTTCTTCAGTGCCAAACCTAACAGTGATGATAGGGAATGAAGGGATATGGTTTTGGATTGCATGAGATTCTCCCTCATGATCCTCATCCTTTCTCTCTCGTCCGGAGGCATCGTCGTTCGTGGATTTTATTTTAATCCCTAAAAATTCAATTTCCTGCGTCGGTGTGAGGATCGTTTTCTCTTCATTTATGAAGAAGCCTGTCTTTCTGAACAACAACATTGCGCTCCTGGTCTGTTCTTCTAACATACTCTCATCCTCATGCATGAGTAACCAGTCATCAAGGTAATTGATGGTTTTTACTCCTCTCATCCTGAGGTAACGCGCTAATACTTTCATTAGCTTATTAAAAACATATGGCGCTGTACTTAGACCAAATGGTAGCACATTGTATCGAAACAATATTCCTCTCAATTCAAATGTTAACACATCCCTACATTCAGGATTGATCACAATCAAATGATACGCTGCAGAAAAATCTATTTTTCTAAAGACGGACCCCTTTTTTATTAGATCCGCTACCAAAAGTGCGCTTTCCAATTTGAAATGTGGAACCACTAAATACTCATTCAGCTTCTTGCACCACTGTTCGAATTGAATCTGCCGGTTGTAGTTCAGCTCTTAGTGCTTTTCCGAATAATTTGGGAGCTGACTCATATTTATTATGGTCGAACACGGGTTCCTGATTCCCATTCTTTGAAGGAGGAACTCTCTCCACTGGTTTCCAGACTGTTTTACTCCCGGTGATTGAAGAAGTTTAGCTTAATCTAGGAGCTTGTCCTTCATTTTCTTATCATGTTCTTCCGTGCTATGCTCCTCCTCAACCACTCGGACATGACAGCCTGAATAGGAAAGTATCGTTAGTTTATAGCTGTCTCAATATTTGGAGCTGGCAGCAACAAACAAAAATAACGGCTCAACTCGTCTCTCACCAGAAATGTTTCGACGAATTATAAGAATCTACCTTTTCCAATCGTTAAC